AATAAAGTATCACTTCTCAGTGATAATGACAGCATTCTATCTCAACTCAAATGAATATATCGATCTATTAATACATATGATTTTGACCATAGATCCAAGATCAAGAATGTCTCTTGAAATTTATCTGAATATATTCAAATCAACGTTAAACACTTCATGTAACTATAAACGATAATTTCAAATGAATCATATGTTCTTCTTAAATCTTGCTGTCCTAAAGTCTTCAGTTTGTTCACACTTTGTTTATTTTCAATATTTTAGAATCTAAACCAATTCTTTTTAATTGTATACGGGATGTTTTTCACTACAAACTTATGATAACTTCAACCAAGAATAAGACATTTTTCTGAAAAAAAGTATTGGCAATTTACTAAAAGATATCAGCTAGATTTTGAAATCGAAATTGATAGTCAAAAAATGTTTATACATTTTTATTTACTGGGGTGAGTTGTACGGATTGTACAAAATTTAAAGAGAGAATAACTTCTTGTTCAAGCAAGCAAGCAAGACGGATTCTTTTATATTTGAATTTGGATCACCTGTAGAACAATTGCTAATTGATTCAATCAAATCATTTGAGATGGCTAAATTACAAAGTTATCATTGTGGTATCACACACAAAAATGTTTTTTGAAAAAATAGGCGTATGTTTTTTGACACGAACAATTAATTTTTTAGTAGACAACCACTAAAATAAATGTTTTTTCTTTTTCTTTTCTTTTGGACAAGAAATAAAAACATACCTTAATTGATATTCTCATAGACTAGAATGTTTTTATATTATTTTATATAAATTTAATCATGCGGATTAATCTAGTTTACTACCCGTAATCAGTAACATTCTTCTCTTCATCTATCAATACACAGATTATTATTTTCTCAAATTCCATTCCTGTTATTCTTTGATAGAAGAGTAATGATCGTTTTTTCATAAAGAGAACAATCGTTTATATATGAACTATGACAAATTCTTTCACTGCATTCCATAATAAAATATGATTTTCTCTATTTTTAATGATTCTGCATGTTCATTCAAACTTTATTGACAAATTCAAATAACAGTGATCATTATGAACACAATATATTCGACAAGTTTTGAATAGTCACTAAGCACGACGATATCAACATAGGAGATTATCTTATAACGTTCTTATTGTCATTAAAGCATTGAAAAACGAAAAAATTGTGGGATTTGAAGTCGTTGTAGCATAACAATCAAAATATCAGTTCGTTCATGAGAAATAGTCTATTTTTGAAATGTGTATCAATGGCGTAAAAACCCATGCTTTCTTTCGGTGTTTAGGAATTCGACTCAACTCGAATTGATAGTCTATAATCTTTCAATAAAAAACGAAAAACACGATATATAAAGGGTGTAGATAGAAATTGAGCTAAATAATGTAATCAATTTCGCCTATAATTCAGAGTATGCATCTAGATTGATAATAGAATATTTCTTGATACAAGAATAATCTGAGATTATTCAAGAGAAAATAGAAGGATAAACATAAAATTAAAATAGGATCAATGTGCGTCTAGAGCTTTTCTAGTATCCTAAAAATGAGCGAAAATGACTGAGCTCCGATCAACTGTGCACCGAATAGGACCGAAGTAATCTGTGCTACATTCTAAAAGTCACTAACGACGAAGCGGTCTAGGCATTAACCTTCGGGTACATTTTCTCACGATATTTTTATTTTAAAATCTTGCGTAATCTCTATATTTTAGTGAGTCTATACAAAAAGATATCTTACATTTAGCGCATTATCTGGGACAGAGATGGGCGATTCACCGCTTTTTCGAGTCTGCGTCGAGTTCGAGTCAGGAGGCTTCGAGTCCGAGTCGCATGAGAAATTGAGTAGAGTCATTTGCTAGAAGTGAACTTCCTCCTGATTCATTTTTCCAAGAAAAAGCTTGCAGTGCTATTTTCCATCTCTTGTCCTTTTCTAAATTTTCAATTTTTTTCATGTGACGCGATGTTCTACTTAGAATATTCTCAAATCTGTCTCTCTGTTCTGGTATATAACAAATATAATAAACACTGTCATAACAATCCAAAGTTGCACATGACTGACTAGAACGTGATTCGAGTCACTTTTTCTAGTTTATCGAGTCTTTCGCCTCAAGTCCGAGTTTGAGTCATAGGAAAATGTGACTCGAGCCCAATTTTTTTCCAGTAAGTCAATTTATAAACAATAACGAACATTTTGATCGATTTTAAAAATTATAAAAAAAATTATCTGAAATGTCACATTTTCTTATTTTCTTGATTCCTGCAGTATCTTGGCTCAGGGACTTGCATTACGGAAGATCTAGAGCAGAACTTTTACATATGAAAGCGTACAGTTTCAGTCAAGGATGCACCGAAGTGTATATGAACGTTGTGTAACAAAAGAATTCTCTATCTTTTATGTGTAAAGCCTCAAAACAATACGTATTTTTGCTGAAATTATATTCAGCATTATTATTCAGAATGATGATTAAATCCAATAAAATTAAATGTTTTTTTAATGATCTTGAAAAAGAAGAAACACAGTTGTTGGTTGTTATGTACAGTGGAAATAAACGTTTAGATGATTCAGATAATTTTATCAATAACACCGTTAAAGAACAGTTACTATTTGAATCATCATTAAAGCCATGTCATCAATTGATGGAAAGAGTATGGGCCTAGATGAAAAGTGAAATTTCCTTCAGAAAATGATACCTGTTACGGGACGGTGTAACACTGGATGAAACCTGACAGTCCGTTCTCACAAGCGATATCCCGTTCGGAATATACCCTATATCCCGAACGGGATATCACAGAAAATTTATATCCTGAAAGGGATATTTTTGCAAAACATTTTGGAAAAAATCATTACCGCAAGAATTGTGACGTTATTGCAGAAAAGTAAATATAGCACAAGAAAGCGGATGAAAAACTGAGTCAAAATCAAAGGTGCTCTAGTCTTGGTTTAAAAGTCTATCGTTCACGATTTTTTAAATTCTAGTGGGGATATACAAAACAGTCTAACCAGGGTATGCTTTTATATCCTGAACGGGATATATATCTAGTTCGGGCTATGAGACCGGACTGCCTGTCTTGTTGTTACTTATAGTCATAATCTATCACGTTCCGTCATTGATCAAATAAATCTGTAAATAACGGATCAATTATTTCATATTGTTATACTGTGGAAAAACAAAATGCCCGATGTGGACAATTTTTAATAAATAAAATATAGCGAACCATACCATATTCCATCTGCATAGGCAAATTTATTATCAAACGCAGACGTAAAATAATTAATGAAAAACATTGAACCAATATTTATATTTGGGATTTGAGTTATGTTATTGAGGTTTTTTTGTTGAAAAAATTCTTCTGAAAATTTTTCTCTGCTGTTTTTTGTTGTTATTATTGCAATTTATTCATTTTCAGGGCTATTCTGTAATCTATCTTATCTGGAAACATATATAATCGGCATGAACACTGAAAAACTTTGTCAGAGTACTAACATTAGACATTGGTGTCTAATTTTATATCATTATATGAAATTAGTCTAAAATTGATTAATACACATAAGTATTATCTGAACTGGATTTTTGTATTATTGGCCCTCCAGTAAGAAATTGGTCAATAACTATCGTGTTCAATGAACATCCTGAAAAAACAATTGGTATGTACAAAAGAATGATTCAGGGGTAAATTGATGATAAAAACAATAAAATTCTGTGTTTGAACATCGAACAATGGATTAATATTGGTCTGTTGAGATATGCTATGTAAACGTATATGCTCTCGTTATAATTAATCTTGTCTAAAATAAGTCATGTAGACAGATCCTACAATAGGAGAACGTATATTCTGCACTATTCTTTCCACACATTTTCCTTCACTTCAGTAAGCTTTTAAGAGCTAGAGAGTTCGAATAGGCCTTAAAATGTAAGAAACAGATAAAGCAATACCGAGAGAATGGTCAAGAAACGTGTACGATAATTTTCCTGCGCAATTATCGGATTCGACCGAAAACGAAAAGTTCGACTTTTGAACATTTTACTTAAAACCAAAAGATTTTACCATGGTTTATAGATTTGTTGTTAGAATTTTAGAACATTAGCGCACATTGCCTTTGGAATTTACTTACATCAGTTTACTAGTGTAGTTTGTTGTGTAGCAGATTTTCATTTTTGGACATGTCTGATAAATAATGGAACAGTTTTATTTGTCATTTCTTGCCTAATCAAAACTAATCTTAATTCGGTAAAGGTAAAGTGCAAAACGACAAGTTGCAAATTTTGACCTTTGTCTGGTTCTCATTCCTTTACTTTTCCATTTGACGCTGTTTGTTACAATTAACCCTAATTACGAACTTTAGAAACTGTATAGTGTAAATTCAGGATTTACTTGACATGAGATGTTCCGTGTTTACTCGAGAATAGCGAAATCACTATAGTATAGCATAGGGGATTAACAAATGGATGAAGGTAGCCCCCATTGCTACATTTTGCTTTCTGAGATATCTTTTGGTCTATAGCAAAACGTTTCTATACACATTGTGAATATCCTCGACAGAAAAATTTATTTTGTTCTCACCGTACTCTAAAGGTCAAAGTACGCCCCTGAATCTCTGAAGCAAAATTGAATTTTTTCTCTTAGCGAACCACCAGACTAAGAAACACAGAAAAATCATATACTTTTATGACTTGTTAGCCACTATGGTGAAACCTCAACTTTACAATGTACTGTTTATTATTTGTCCGAAAGCAAAAAGTTGAATCGTTAGGGTTCAATTCTTTTTTCTATAGGGTAATAAATTTGTAAAATTCAGTTTTATAGTGTATACTCGTTGCAGTTTAATCAACGTAAACATTCAATTTTATGCTTATAATATTCTTTTACGAATGAAAACATTTAGAAAACAACATTTAGATTTCGACAATAGTGTAACTCTTCTGACGTCTTCAAGAAACAATATTGTAATACATTTTTATATCATGTTTCAGATAGACAACCGATGGCCGGTCATAAACAACCATACAAAGTTGCTGATATCAGTTTAGCTGAATGGGGTCGAAAAGAAATAACATTGGCTGAGTATGAAATGCCTGGCCTTATGCAATTACGAAAAAAATACGGAGCAGCCAAACCGTTGAAAGGTGCAAGAATTGCCGGTTGTTTACATATGACGATTCAAACAGCTGTTCTTATCGAAACACTCAAAGAGCTTGGTGCTGATGTGAGTTTTATATTATATTTTCTTTTCTTGTGCTAAATGTTATTGTTTGTTTTGTTTGCTTATTTATTTTTAGGTTCAATGGAGTAGTTGTAATATATTTTCAACACAAGATCATGCTGCAGCTGCTATAGCTAAAACTGGAATACCCGTTTATGCATGGAAAGGTGAAACTGATGAAGAGTACTTATGGTGTATTGAACAAGTAAGCAGAATTGAATTCATTTTATTGGCTTTCGTTTTTTTATAGTTAAGAAAATTATTTTTTCATCAGGTGAGATACAAGGATTTTCTTGTAAATCAAATTTTTCTCTTCAAGGAAAGTGACTCTTCGAAGATTTATAAAGTGAAGTGGATTTATTCACTTTTTATTTCTTTTAGAGAAAGATAAACTATTAGAAATTTGAAGAGGTTTAGAATTTTAATACTTCCTGTCAAAGTGCACATCTCCGTCCTTTTCAAAAGTTGCTTCAGTTTATCTTCGCTTTTTCAAGCTCACTTATCCTGAATAACATTTATATTTTTCCTTCTTCAATGTTTTAGACTCTTTATTTTCCTGATGGTCAACCATTAAACATGATATTGGATGACGGTGGTGATTTAACGGGAATCATTCATGAAGATAAGTATGCAAAATTAGCGTCGGGTATTTATGGTATATCAGAAGAAACAACAACAGGTGTCCATGCACTATTCAAAATGTTGAAAGCAAAAAAATTAAAAATTCCAGCTATCAATGTCAATGATAGTGTTACAAAATCGAAATTTGATAATTTGTATGGTTGTCGAGAATCATTAATCGATGGCATTAAACGCGCAACAGATATAATGATTGCTGGAAAAGTGGCGGTGGTGGCTGGATATGGAGATGTCGGGAAAGGATCAGCTAGAGCATTGAGAAATTTTGGTGCAAGAGTTATTATTACAGAAATTGATCCAATTAATGCTTTACAAGCAGCAATGGAAGGTAAGTGGAAGATTGAGTCTTGAATGAGTTGTGAATACGGCATAGTATATTAACCACTATCTTTCAATGATAATGAAAGATAGGACCCCTCACACACTCAGAAAAATAAATTTTCGTCCAAAACATTGATTCTGAGATTTATATATGATTGAAGAATCCAAAGTGTCCTCATTCCGACGCACTACCTTTTATGCCTTGAAAAATAGCTTGGTTTTCTAAAAGCCTCCAATTCTAAAAAAGTTAGTTTTTTATTGAAATATCACTGCATATGCAAAAATACATGTTGCACATGTCTCTGCATACGCTCACTGGACTTAGCATACGCAAAAACCTATGGTGAACTATTACTGTATTTCTTTCTATTAACTATTATTATATTTCTCCTTCGTTTTTCATTTCGTAAGCTTGTTTCACGTTTTCCTCAAAATCTCTTTTTACGACTATAGCGTTTCATATTTCCAAGATATCTCAGTCAGCTTTTGAGCTAGAAATTTCGGATTGGTTTCAAAGAGTACAGAAATGTTTTTTCTATGTCGTGACGCTCTTAACAGAGAAAATGAAATATCAGAAATTCTCATGGGCATACAATGGGCCTTGCCTCGATTTATTCACATTTTATTGCTATGTTTATTCATTATCTTAGATTTTCAATATATTATTGAGACGATAAAAAAAAATATCAGAAATCCTATTGATCTTGATTTTTTATGATAATTATTAATTAAGCAGTAAATAAGAAATTATTATGTCTAACTGGATTGTTTGAGTCTTGCGTGTTGTTGTTCGGTTGTGATTGATGTCTTTCTAACGTGACAAAGATTTTGGCAGGAAAAAGATTGTCCTTTTTCAAGATTCGAATATCAATCTTCATACAATCGATAAGTTTATCAAGTTTTAATATTAACGTTACTGTCTGTTTATTTTGTTTTAGGTTACGAAGTGATAACTATGGATGAAGCATGTAAAATTGGTCGAATATTCGTAACAGCAACTGGTTGTCGTGATATTATTCTCGGCAGACACATGTCGGAAATGCCCGATAATGCAATTGTTTGTAATATTGGTCATTTCGATATTGAAATCGATGTTGATTGGTTGAAGAAAAATGCCGTTAGCAAAGAAACAGTCAAACCACAAGTACGTCATTTTATTCTATTAATCCACAACATCACAAAAAAAAGCCTCGTCTATTTGCGAAAGCGTAGAAGCAATTGTAGTATCGAGTATTTTGAACTGAAATATGATCCAAAACTTTTTAATTTTGATTTATTCATGAATGTTATTATTATATAGTTTAGCCATCAATTTTGTTTAGAACTGAGTTTTTTTTCATTTTCGCTTTAGGTTGACCGTTTTCAATTGTCAAATGGTCGTTCGATTATCTTGTTAGCTGAAGGACGTTTAGTTAACCTAGGTAGAGACTAAAAAAAGAATACTGATTTCTATACTAATTAAGATGTTTTCATTTTAAAGGTTGTGCTCATGGTCATCCTAGTTTTGTCATGAGCAATTCATTCACAAATCAAGTATTAGCACAAATTGAATTATTTACAAAACATGATAAATATCCACTCGGTGTCTACACGTTACCAAAATCGGTATGTCATGATATATTTAGCATACGATCAGCATTTTTTGAATAATCCACTCAGTCTGCGTCCAGTAACATCAATTAGTTTATATTGATTATAGAAAGAGTTTACTTTTCCTGAAATACAGATTTGTGGATGTTTCTAATGAGCTTCATGATTGTATTCGTCTACGTAATCGAGAAATTGGGTGTGAACCACAGGTGAGCGATGGACGAGGATCCCCGTGATGAAGATTTTTTGGAAACTTGACGAGGCACTGCACGAGGCAAATCCCGCGGAGACATTTTTTTCTTATTAATGAAAGATGCAATGGAGACGTTGGACAGCATCCTTTTCAATTCACTTGGAAAATATATTTGTTAGTAGATGACACAGAGGTGCAGAACCTTACACAAAATCCAAAAATTTCCACAACCGAAAAATTTTTTCCCAAAAATGATACAAGTTTCCTAGTGTCGACGATTTCCCATAAATTTCCACAGTAAAGACATTTTTTCAAAATTTTTCCACAACCGGCCGGTTGCGCAAACGTAAGATTCTGCACCTCTGAGATGACATCTACCGCACAAACAGCGTTTCCACAAGTGGAAGTTAAAGCTCTAACAGTTGTTTATTGTAAAGGTTATTTCTAACCTTTTTGATTTGTTCTTCTGTCTTCCTAGTATCTAGAAAAATTTTATCAGTAGTTGACGATGGACGAAGCGGTGAAGGAGCAGAAAGCAGGAAGCTTACGGAGCGATACCCGTGAAGTAGATTTCTCAAAACTTGACGAGGTACGGGGCGATGACGAGGCATGAAGTCTGCGAGACGATCCCCGTGAGAGAGCTAAAGTTAGTCCATCGCCTACCTCTGGTGTGAACGTAATCTGACGATTTGTCATGCAAAGATGAGATGTGTATATGCTTTGAAATCTAATGAGCATGTTTTTCATCTACGAGTAGTACTATATTTTTGTTTTTCTCTTATTTTAGTTGGATGAAGAAGTGGCTGCTGCTCATTTAGATCACTTAGGTGTTAAACTAACACAAATGTCTAAAGAACAAGCACAATATTTAGATTTAAATGAAGCTGGACCATTTAAACCGGACCATTATCGTTATTAGTTGCATGTTTCTGCCGTGATAGTTTTTAATACTATTGTGATAATAAAAAGAAAAACCATGTATTACAGTTAACTCTTTCTTTCCGCATAATTGTCCATTTTATTTATGCATGTAATCATTTGATAAAAAGTGAATCTATATATATATATCAGAGATATATTAACTAAAAGATTGTTATTGTTGATATTTTTAAGTATTCATCAAAACATAAATAAACATTTATATGTTGATATAACATCTGGAACAACGTTTTCAGTGCACTGTCAGAAAGAAAAAATAGTACTTTCCATAAGAAACGAGAAAGTACTCGTATGAGAACTAGGACAGACAAAAGTATCCTGTATTTTACTATAATTCTACAAAACAGGTATGAAATTATTTCATTGAAGTTTTTTTTCCGAGATTTCATTTGCATGAATGCTTAGTAATCTTGAATGGATGAACTTTATAATTAGCACAGTATCACAGTGTCAAATTAAAAAATGAAGTACTTGTGATTATTTAAATTATTTTAATCCGTGTGTGAATGAATGCATCTCTATCGAGTCGGAATTGAAGTTCTTCTATAAATAGTGCTGTTGTTCATCAGTTCTTGAACAGATTATGTTTTGATTAATATTCTTTTACCTTTTTTTTTTTTGTAGATTTGCTGTTTTCAAACTATAAGACAAAGACAGATGAGTTTTCACTATTGTGTTGTCGGTAAAGTCGGTGAACCGTTGGTATCCGTTGGAAATAAATCATATGAACAACGAGTGTTACTACTATTACCGAAAATAAATATAAATAAAGCGAGAGTGGATTACGATGATGATAAGTACGTGTTGTCGTTGTAATTTCATTTCATTTCTATACTCTTATCTATTTATTATTTAGAGTGACACATCATGTTCTGAATCAAGATGGTTATTCAATCGTTTGTACGACAGATTCAAATGTTGATAAATTGAGAGCGTATACATTACTAGAACAGGTTTGGAAAAATTTTGTTTTTCTTCGCTAGACTAAATATTTATTCTAAACATTTGATACTGTAATTTAGATCAAAGAAAAATTACCACCATTTTCTGAAACCCAATATGCTTCAACGTGGACATTGCAACCAGAGATGGAATCATTAATGCAAAGTTTACTTGTAAGATATTTTTCCTCCGTTTTTTAGTAGATGATGTATGATTATATTGTTCTATAGTTGTTTGCATTTTGAAGGATGAATATGATGCTGGCCGTGGACAAGATGCACTCTCTGTACTTGGACGTGACGTAGACGAAACACAGTCGGTTATGGTTGAAAATACAACAAAAGCTATTGAAAGTGGAATTAATTTACAAGATTTAATGGTTGAAGCTGATCAGTTAGAAGCAACGGTATGTAATTGTTTCAGTATGACTTGTAGGATTTGCTTTTTTTTCTCTCAATTATTTTTAATAATAAAAACAGTCATTAGTATGAAAAAATGATAGGACCGCGTGTAATGTGAAATTTCATGAACTTAGAGAATATTAATAATTCTTAAGTGTTTAGTATTTTGTTCAAGGGTAGAATCTATATAGAAAAAATATGCTCCTTGCATATTTGCAGACAAAAATTTTATCAATTTACTTCATTTTCGAGAAAAAAGTTGTTTTTCTAAGACTATCGTATCCATCTCATTCCAAAATGGATGTGAAGAGGTTTAAATAATTAAAAGGAAGAGCAGTTTTAAATAAATGATAGAATAAAGAGTATAATACTGCTACAAAAAAACATGTGAGATTAATTAAAATCTACTTGTACTGTTTATTTGGCGGTTTCGGTGAACGCTTTCACCATCGTCGGGAAACAATATGACAACAAAAATGAAAATTAGTACTGTTACATACCTCCACAGTAATAAATAGTAAAACGGATTGGAATTAGAAATTGTAGAGAGGGAGAGAGAGAGAGACAACTTGAACAGAGAGTTGAAAGTAAAGAGAGAAAACGTAATCCAAACAGATATATGTTCTTAGAACAATGTCTCCAGTCGAAAACCATGTCCTGTAATAAGAACATATGTAACAATAACGTTCAATTAATACTCTTAATTTGTGTTTGGCTTTATTCAATGATTTTCCGTAACTCTGAAGTGTGAATAGACTTTCTTTAATGATCCTTCTTAATATTTAACATTGTTGAAACCAAATGTGTAGTTATCTTGATTGACATGTTGAGCAACTAATGACTTTTGTTTCCAATTACGAATATCTGCTTGATGTTCATCCATACGAATAGATTTTTCTCTTCTGGTTTCATCATAATAATGTTTATCATAATCTTTACATGATATTCGATATATCAATTGTAATGGTAGAAATAAACATTTTAATGTTGATGGTTTACGAAATACAATATCGATCTGTATAAACAGTAAGAATCGTTTAAAAATCTTTTTAATGCATTCGGTTAATAATGTTGGCTCATATCTGTGATATGATAAAACAAAAATGTTTTTCTTTTGTTGTTATGGATGTGAATTTGAATTTATTGTTTGTGGTTGTTGTTGATTCAATATTCTTTTTATTATCACTTGACCTTCTCTGATTCCTCGACCTCGTTAAATTATCGGGATATTCGTTTAATTTTAATGTTACTGTTTTAATTCGATATCAGAATACATTGTTGATGAACAGATCAATAAAATACGAATAATGAGAGACCTAATCAGATCAAGTTTATATTTCCGACATTGATTACTCTCATATAATAAATATAAATTTATATTTGTTAGTTTATAGTAGATTGTTGTTTCATATTTATCGTTATTATTGTTTCGTATTACCAATATATCAAAAAATGCAATTTGATCGTTGTTTTCTTGTTCGATTGTAAATATAATGTTAGAATGCCAATTATTAATACGTTGTAAACAGTTGTCAATCTTTTGTTTCTTGGTAAATATGACAAACACATCATCAACATACCTCAAATCGTAATGATGACTTATTTGTTAAAAATTGATTTAATTTTAATTCAATATTAGACATAAACATATCGGTCATTATAGGTCCAAGGGGTGAATCCATTGATACATCATCACATTGTACATAGTTATCATCAAGAATCTAAATGAAGTATTACATACTGCAAAGGTTAATTGTTTCATTTGTTTACGGTTAAATAGGGAGTATGATTCGAGTTATATATGATGTCTAATACTAATTCAATCGGTTCGTTTACACACACATTGGTATATCATGAATCCATATCGAAGCTAACCATTATCTGATTTTTACTATTTATAATGTTTTGAATTCGTTTCACAAACTGAAATGAGTGATTGGTGATCCAACAGATGATATGATTGGCCGAATGGGGTAACTGACTTTGTGTATTTTTGATTGTCCATACATACTAGCTTGTGATGAGCAGCTTGAACGAAATTGATAAAATAAATGTATGTAAATTATCTGATGTATTTCGTAAAATTTCCGTAAATACTTATTCATCTGTTTCTTTTCGTTTTAATAGACATGAAGATGTTGCTCTAAATTATTTTAATTTCAAAATCTGTTCAACTTTCTTAATGTAATCATTTTGTCTATTATCACAATAGTATTTCCTTTATCTGCCCGACTTATGACTATATTTTGATTACCTTTTAATCATATAATAGCATCAAATTCTTCATCGCTAATATTTCTAATTGATTTTTGTTCGGCTATATTCATTGCCTGAAATGAATAATCATGTATATCACGACATATTATGATGACAAACTTTTTCTAATCGAAATGCATTCAATTCAATATTCGTTTTAAAATCAATGAAATTATTGATTTTTTATTTTCAATATAGAAATTCCAACCTCGGTATAACAGATGTTCTTCGGGCTGCCTGTAATATATATAAAGAAATATTATGTACAATTTTTGTTTTTAATAGTTCATAATTTTGTCCTGATTGTTTAATCGTTCTAATTTTGTTTTAATTGATTGAATGTCATCATTATCATTCGACTGCGAACAAGCGAGGTTTGCAGGCGACAACAATCTTGGACCAATTCTCCCTGTTTAAACGTTATTATTACGTTTTTCGAGCGCAGACATTGTTCTAAGAACATATATCTGTTTGGATTACGTCTGCGTTTGTTCATATTTTCATTCTCTGTCCAAGTTGTCTCTCTCTCTCTCCGCAGTTTCTAATTTCAGTCCGTTTTACTGCTACTGTGGAGTGGAGATGTGCAATCCGACCCGAAGGTTGGGTACGGAACGAAGTTATCGGGTACGAGTAGAACAGTTACGGGTACAGATTACGTTTTTTTTAACTTCCGGTAGGTTTTAGCGGAAAATCACAAAAGTTTAGTGAAAAAATTCAAGATTTTAGATAAAATAAATGAAGTTTTAAAAGAGTTACTTGAGAACGTAATGATAACTTGACATCTCCAGCTGGAAACCGAAAAGGTGAAAATTTTTCGATACAGGTCGAATACGAGTGAAAAAAACATTTTCGGAAATATATAATAGTCCTAATTTTCATTTTTGTTGTCATATTGTTTCCTGACGATAGTGAAAGCATTCATCGAAAGCTCGAAATAAATAGTTCAAATAGATTTTAATTAAACTAACATGTTTTTCGAAGCTGATTTAAATAACTTTCAATGACACCATAGAAAAGAGTATGAAAAGGTGAGTATAACTAATCTATTATAAGAGCCATACTTGTAGAACTTTGATGGTTTTTAAAAATTTAAAAAAAAAAAAGGAATAAAACGTGCTAGATATGGCTACAAGTTAGAAAACAAGATTTCAACTTTTTGACCTGTTTTAAACGTGATACCAGGAAGTTCTACCTAAAAAAACCATCAAAACTCTACGATTAGGTGACTTAAAATACATCAGTTATACGTAGTTCTTTATACTTTTTTAAGTAAAATTTTGACTACAAATTTTTAAAGAGCACATTTTTCTATGTATATTCCATACAGAAACATGAATCTCATATATTCTGTAAAGTCATGAAGTTTCATATTGCATGTGGTCTTATAATTTTTCTCACTACTGTAATCTTAATACTATATCTTTCCGATGGAAACGCATGTCAATGCTAGTATTTAAATAAATATCAGTTTTGGTAGTTAATATCTTTAAAGAAAAGGAAAAATTAGAGAACTTGTGCTTCTGAACACTTCTCATTTGAACAAGAGCCTTGCGATAATGTACATGTATACATATGTCGGAATTGAGATTAGAATCTAGATAAATTCTGAATATGCCTAGGCGAGAATAGAATTCTAATTTCAACTGTCTAAGATTGGAATTCGAACATCAACTAGTTGTGACACGAATGGTTCTAAACTGAGCCAGAGTTTAAATTAGAATTTCAAGTAGAACTGCATAAGATCAGAATTCCAATATGAACTGACAAACTGGACTAGATGAGTTTAGAATTTAAATTCATTCTATAGAAAAGGGAAACAAGAAAAACAATCTGACACCTCGAGAAAAAGGATTTTCTTGTTGTGATGTAGAAATTGTACAATAGACTTGTCTTATGACATAATCTGAGTCTTACATCTCTACTTTTTATCCAAATAAACGTGCACAATACATAATAAAATATATAATGCATGATCAGATATTGCAGATTTTCAAATCCGATGAGTATAAATCACTTGATACAAAATTTAAACTTTGGGTAAAAGAAATTTTTTCATATAAATCTTCACTGTTTGTTTATGTTTTGTTGAATAAACCATATTAACATCAACAACTTTGCCTTATAACAGAAAGTGAGCATCTGTTTTACTGTTATAATTTAAAAAAAACAATATCAGAATCGTATTTAATATTAAAAAATGCGCTAGAGTTGATTTTCTCGAAAAAAATAGTTTATCTCGATATATTAATATTGAAAAATTAGTTTGTTTCCCTTTTCTATAGAATGAATTTAGATTCTAAACTCATCTAGCCCAGTTTGTCAGTTCATATTAGAATTCTGATCTTATGCAGTTCTACTTGGAATTCTAATTTAAACTCTGGCTCAGTTTAAAACCATTCGTGTCACAACTAATTGATGTTCGAATTCCAATCTTAGACAGTTGAAATTAGAATTCTATTCTCACCTAGATATATTCAGAATTTGTCTAGATTTCAATCTCAACTCAGACATATGCATAAATTTAGTAATTCTAAATAAAAGTACTGGGTTTCGTATTGATAATAGAAAACCAGATAATCTTCTGTTTTGAGAAGGAAATAGTGTATATATCGTAGTTTAGTTTAGTTTTCAATAAACTTATTTAATATTTTATTTTTACTAATAATTATTATTTTTTATTGTTCTTTAGGCATTTATTTATCAGAAGACAACAAACGAGGTGAAACGAAAATATTGGCTAAAAAATATTAAAATATGGATGATTGTATGTGTCATGGCTGTTCTCGGTCTACTAATATTCATAATTATTCTCACAAAACGGATATCAAAACGAAGGAAAATGGCAGGAATACAGTTTCCAATTGAGTCTACAAATTTTACTGAAAACATTGCTTTGATAACGTCAACAACATTATTAGATATTTTGAAAAATGAATAGAATGAATTTAATGGAAAGTAGAGAGATAGAACTTCTAACCAATATTATATCCAGTCAGATTTATCACCTTTTACCAAAAAAAACAAATCTTAATCCATATTTTAATGACATAATGAATGTTGAAATTAGGAAATTGCATAGCATATTTTTTTTGTTCGGTTTTTATAAACACGTATGTTAAAAGTGATATCTTTTAATGGTAGAACCTCATTGTATTGTGCATGTACCATTTTCTGTTTAATAATTTTAAAATTTTCTTGTTTATTGTACATAATGTTTTATATATCTTCCAACATGCTCTCCTATTTTTATACTAGATATTTACGTGTTTGTTTTTTTTTAAAATAATGTTATTCACACACCACTTTTAATAAACTTCATTGTTCTTTATTTTGAGGATAAATAATTGTAGACAAGTGTGTTGTTATTATTAGATAATGACATTAAAAGTTTTAGAATAAATTATTCCTGAAAAGCTGGACACACTTGCGAGAATGATGCTCATATTCTCTGCTTTGACAAAATAAATCAATTCATTTGAACAAAAATTTTTATGTGATGAAAGCTGTAAGTTAAGTTCAGTGATATATTTGCAGTTGAATTTTTTTAAAGAAAAAAAAAATATTTTTTTCATTGAACAATTTCTTGATTTTTATTTTAAAAATAACCTTGAACATTTAATTTTCAAAAGTTGGATGGACTAGAGAATGTAAACTTTGTGTTTTTAGTTCTAAAACCTCGATTTATCATCACCTATGTTGTACTTTTTACCTGGTGTTCTTTTTACATTCTTTTATTCATTCAAGAACATTATTGCTGCAGGCGTCACTTTGGAGAAATTATGGTCATGAAGAAGTTTTTATATTTATGACTCACTTTATTTATATGACAGGTCGATCGACTACTATTGTTTCGTTTTTCCATTTTTGTAAAAAATAAAATATTTTTACCTTTGACACCTTGTTTATTTTCCCTTTTTTCTTTTCTTTTTCAGATCATTCTATTTTTTTTTCTTCCTATGATACACCGGTGATTTTGTTTATTTCTGTCGTTATTCTCACATAAATCGAATGAATATAATAATGCAAACATCATATCTTTAGTGAAGTTTTATCATTATTTCATAATAAAGATACGAAATATGAGTGTTAATGATAGAAGTACAATGGTGAGTATCGACATTTGTGGTAAAATTAGTTGTCATAGATTATAAAACGAGATCTCGAATTTATCTAATAAATAAATTCGCAACGGAGTTGAAAGTGATCTAACTTCTTTTTATCTATACTTGGATTCAATGTTTTACAACATTTCATTCAGTTTTCATCGAGATTGGCTAATTTAATGCTGATAAAAAACTTAAGATAAGTTACTAACCATTCGATACAAAATATTAGATTTTATCATTCATTGACAAACAGTCCATCTTGCTAAATGTTCGCTTTGTACTTCTTATTTACAGTCCCGTGCAGAAACGATTTGACTTTA